CCCCCCCCCCCCCCCCCCCAAAAAAAAAAAAGTATGCCCTGCCACGAGAGTGTACATGCATTGAGTGAAAGCAGTGCAACATTACTTGCGGTTGACTCGGGGCATGTTCAATCAACCGCTCACACAGTAGTCAAACATCCATTGGAGTACTCATTCAAGGCAGCAGACCAGTACATGAGCACATTGCAGGAGGTACTTGGAAACATTTTATAATTTATTTGACACACCAAAATTCGAGCAGCTGCATGTCAATTCAAGTTGAAGGGCAGGGCATGCGCATTTTTCAGGGGTAACTACCTTGCCACACACCCAGACCGAGCAATAAAGTTTGGGTAATGGTGAGTGCGTTGACTTGTTTAACGCTCTCAACCAAGATAACATTTAGCACTAGTAGCTAAAGTAATAACACAACCACCGGTCACCAGTTTGACTAGTGATTAAATTTGTGATCAATAGTTTCTGGTAAGAATTTATTGTACATTTGATTTTCAGCCAAATAATGTCCTGGTTTTTCATTTCGAAAATCTGGTCACGCTAATTTTGAGGTATTTGGGAAGGAGCCAGAGTACAGAGAGAACATGTAAATTTCATACAGAAGGAACAGAGACTCTCACGGAAGGCCTTGACCGCAGGGCAGACATGCAAAAAGCTCTTCTTCTGTGCCACCTGATTTTGGTCCAATGTTATTTATCACAAGTGTTGCCTACCCTTTTTGAGCCAAGGAACATATTCTACATGAGAAAGGTTTTCACCCAAAAAGTCACACAAAGTAGATACAGTTAAATTGAAGCTTCTGCAATCTCGTGGAAGACTACATTGCTGGCATACATTCCTAACACGTAATTACAGTACAGTCAAACCTCGGTTTTCGTCCATAATCCGTTCCAGAAGGCTATTCGAAAACCAAATTGTTCGAAAACCGAAACCATGCTCTTTTTAAAAAAAAAAATAAATAAAATTATTGAACACGTCTGCTCACAATGGAAAGCGACACGAGGAAGCGTCACTTCCTCATATAAGGAAGGCAAGAGGAGTCAAGTGGTGCATTCAAGTGTGCTCCGTTTGTTCGAGAACCGATTTTCGGTCATAATCCAAGGCATAAAAAACTCGAAAACCGATTTGGTCGAGAACAGAGATGTTTGAAAACCGAGGTTTGACTGTATTTTAATTTGACTGTAACAAGGTTCTCAGGACATATACTGTATCAGTTTCAAACTTGTCCTCACAGTGGCTCCAATAAAGATGCACGGGCCAATGAACCACTTCCCAATGATGCAGGCATTTGTGGATTTGGACTCGGTGGCGACCAAGGCACCTGTGAAAGTAGGTTCTACCCCTCCTTCTCTGAAATACAATATAGTATAAGGGACGTGAGCCAAAAAACTGGAAAATGTGTATCCATTTAAAATATTATAACCTACACTATTATTGAGAATGACGAATATTAAAATGACCTTTTTGTGTCTTTACAGCAGGAAGAGAAGAAGAGTGATTCTGTTGGCGTGGATGAGATGATTGGTCTCATGGAGGTAATTTGTACTCAGGATTATGTTATGTAACATCTAAAAGGATTATTTTATTTTAACTAAGCACATGAGGTGACAATTTTAGGGGAACTTTGAGATGCCCAAATTCAACGACACCATGCTGGGTAACCTGAAGGGCTTGAAGAAGCAGCTGAGCCAAAGTGACTGGAAGGTGAAGCAGTCATGTTCAGAAATGAAAACACACGTACACACAAACATTTTATGTATTAATAGTAAAAAACATTTTTGCAGAGCTTTGAATCTTGGCTGCACAACTGGATAATCTTCAAGATGTCTACAACTCCTACTGGTGAGCAACACTACTACACTTTTCTCCCCAATGAATCTTCACCCCGTGAGAGGATTTCGCACTCGAATGACGACGAGAATAATGGGGCAAAGATCTCTATCAAGGCCAAAAATTCCTCAGTCAGAATGCAACTGTACACATTCATACATTTACACACTCTATATTATACTTGGTTCAGATTCTGTGATGGGTCTCCTCCAAATAGTTTCACTGGAGGTTAGTATGTAGTATGTAGCATGGTGCAGTGCTTCTGAACCCTTATTGAGCCATGCCACATATTTTACATTTTTACATCTTGGGCACCTCCACGAAAGGCCGCCCCCAATGCCACACAGGTAGAAGTTTAGTATTGTAATTCAATGTTAGGCTGTCTGTCACAAATGCAATCAGATGAAATAGATTTTTTACTAATTGTAACTCTTTCTTCTCCCTCTTACAGTTTGAAGAAACGAAGCCAAGTGCTGCATATTTCTTCATCTGGTTGATATGCATAATAATCATTTCATATCGGCTATTGTAAGGAAATTCACCTACTTTAGTGTGGCTAGCTACATTATACGTGATTGCTTGTTTACCTGAAAGGTTTTTTATGGTTCTTCACGGTATTTACATCTAAAGATCAAAATAAACCACAGTAAATTTTTTCGAGTTTTATTTCATTTGCATTTAAAAAAATTTGAGAGAATGATTTTTTTTTTTTTTTTTTTTAAACACAGGCTCATGTATTAGCTCACACTGGATCGTGCTAGCATTTGGGTCAGTTTTGTCATTTAACCGTGTGGAGAAAAATTTACACAAAAATTAGTTTTTTTTTCATACATAGTTGCATGCAAAGTATACGTTGCAAAGCTTGGGTGAATCAATTTAAGGGGTTAGCAAAACTTTATTTTGGTGGAAAGAAATTGCAATAAAGTTTGGTTAGATTCAGTTGTGTGTCATGGATTTTATTTATTTATTTATTTATTCTCATTATCTTTGTTACAATTCAGAATCACGTATTGTTTTTATATAATTTACAGCAGTGGTTCTCAACTTTTATTCTGTGACTTGACCCCCTGTGAAATATTTTTTTAGCCAAGCCACCCCTAACCAGCGCAAAGCATTTTGGGCTGGAAAAAGAAAATAGACTTAAAACAGTGCGTTGCCATCATTGTCTCATTTCTTTTTATTTTTTTTAAAAAGTGTCAATAAATAATCCAAAATTTTGGGAGTTACTTGAAATACATTTTTAACTTAGTTTGTTTGCATACAAACCTTTGGAACAATAACAAAATATAATATATAACACAGGACTTTTTATACAGTGCCCTCTATAAATACGTACATTCAGAGCCTCAACTGACACTGTTGACGTAAGACTCATCTGGAGTGTGAAATCGGTCATTAGCTCATTAGTTGCCATATTTTCTCGATATTTCATCATTAAGCAATGACATGGAGTGGTAGCTAGAGCTAAACAACTACACAGTATTGAAATAAGACAGAAATGATGTCAAAAAGCAGATTTGTCGTTCACTTTTATTTCTCCCTTTTCCAGTTAATTAAATAAAATTACAACATATTTATGCCTGACGGTTGAAATGACTTTCTACCATATAATGTCTTTTACTAAACACAACCTTTCGTTTACATCTTGGTAACCATACTCCTTGAGTGAAACTATATTCTTTGTCCTTAATAATTTAGCAGACTGTAATAAAATCCATGCGTGCTCGTGGAGGTCCAAACATAAGCACAGCATGGCCTCCATGGGCATGAAAGACCCTGTGAGTATTCATTCTTTTGTTGCAAAATGGCAGATTTTTTTCTCCGGTGACCTTCATTTTTTTCTACAGATTTTAATGAGGGATGGTGAAGCAGTAAAAGTGGGAATTGTACTAAATGCAATACCAGGTAAGGCTTACTCTCACAGGTTAACCTACAAGACTGGAAGTGAGTTAGATTTGTGGCAGCATGGTGAACTAACTAGTGGTTAGCACATCTGCTTTACAGTTCCAAGGTTGGCTCTGATCTTCCCTTGTTGACTTTGTTTTCACTATGCTTGTGTGGGTTTTCTCAACACTACAAAAATGTGTGTCAGGTTCATTGAAGCCTCAAGTTTCCACACCGGTCAATGAGAATGGTTGTTTATATGCGCCCGGCATTGGTTTATTGCCAATCCAGGGTGTACCCGGTTTCTGTCCAATGTTGAAGTGATCCTGCTCATCAACTTGTCGGCACATGTGTCGAGGTAATAAGAGCAACACGCTACCGTTCCAGCAGATGTATCGCTCGCAACCTGTTACTAAGGCACCTACCTGTACAGTATAAGGAAAGATTCCACTTTGTTAGAACCAATGTGATCTTGTATCGACAGTTTCAACTACGGCGGTCAAAAGTTGACAGTCTTGGTTCAATGTCGGGGTGAAGTATGGGTAATTGAATCTATAATGACATGCATTTTATTGATGGTATTTTTTTATATTCTCTTATTTCCCCTCCATTTTTGAACATTAAACTTCCATGCATTGGATCAAGTACCGAGATATATTATGTTTTAGGAAATGTTAAGATAAATTGATATATTTAATCACTCTACTATTTAATGTCAATCTCCTTTGTTTTTTGGCACTCCAACCACATCAATACCTTTGAGAGAGTGTTTTCCAAAGCTAGAAAAATTGCTGGGGAAAAAAGGAATTACTTTACTGCCCCTGCCAGCCCCCCCACCCCCCCCCAAAAAAAACTGAAGGAAACGGGGTTCTTTAACAAAAAGGTGCAACGAAAAATAGTTTGAATAACTCTGTGCCTCAAAGACAAGTACATAAACAACATCAGTTCAGAATGAGAACACTTTCACTTTAAGCTTAACAATGCCACATGTTGACATTCATTGAGTGTATATGTCAAAGATATTTTAACCTTATAATAAAACAGGTTAAAACAAAATAATAACATAACGGCATAACCAGACAAGATTGTTTATAGGTTGCCTGCAATTCAACGATATGAGATCCAGCAGGTGTCCTATTGAGGAAGAGAGTGACACAGTGCCAACACAGTATCAAAACAGTTTGCCCAATATGCTGCAACGCTTCATGAGGCCTCAACCTTACTAAGGTTTGCCCGATGGAGTGTTGAGGACCCAAGTGCAGGGAACCAGGGCGGCAAACTGGGGAGCAAGAGTCATCTTGAAAAAGAATTTATTTCAAAAATAGTAAGAACAAAACTGTGATTGGAAACAAAACAAGATTGGGAAATGTGTCTGACGATTACAGCAACAGAAAAGAGGAACTGACAAAGACAGAAAGAAAATAAATACAAGCAAGGGGAGCTGATTGGTTGGCACAAGGGTGGGTCCGATGAGAACCGGCGCAAACAAAGCCCCAACTAGCAAGACAAGACATGATCAAAGGGACGGACACAAGCAAAAACAAAACTCAATCGGCTCATCAAAACAAAGTCAACACAACACAAATAATGAAAAAAATATCACAGAAAAAGCTCCAGCTCACCTCTGATGCTACAATCAAAATACTTTGTAGAAAATGGATGGAAGGAGTTGAATTCATGTTTGCATCAGGGTTTTTTTCTCCCAAAGGTCAAGAGTATGTCTTCATTCATAAGGATGGGCAAAGTTTGGACTACATATCAAAAGATGAGGTACGCTCAACGGTCACCATCTCACCATATTTGCGTCTTATGAACTCTCATCGCCTCAATGCTCCAAACAGCAACTACAACAGCGCTTGTCATTCGACCAAGCCGTGACTGTGGAAAACATGCAGGTAACAACACGTCTGTTCAAATTGAGTCTTCTTTCACAATAGAGGCCAGCAACATGTCCAGGCTTTAAACTCGAGTATGTGTCACCGACAGAAGTTCCACGGGGAGTTGCTGCAGCCGCTCACTGATTGCACATGTGAAGGTTACAGCGTGTCACTGCTCATATGCGGAGCCTCCATGGAGAACGTTGGCACTCTGATTGACGACGTTATTGTGCAACAGGTTTGCTTCAGTTTTGTAACATTGCCTCAACTTTCCACTAGGGGCGTGTTATCATCAAACTAAATACGACCTCTACTAAGGGGAATGCGTCGTTTATTGACGACAAATTGTGTTTCTTTGTTCATCTATCTGTACAATTGACATATAGTGGCAGGTAGAACAACTAAATGCCCTTTCACTAGATGAGAGAGTTTCCAATTAACCTGTATCATGTTCAACTCAACAAGCCCCGATTTCACACAGCAGTCGGTGTGAGTTAATTGAGATGATCCTCAGTATTAAAGCATGTATACTTTGTTACATTTTGTTCAATAGTGTGTCTGTCCTAAGGTTGTTCTAATGTAAAATATGTACCTGGTCTCAATAAATAAAGGTAGGGAAACAGCTATTTGGTCATATAGTTTGTTGCCTACCTTGTGTTTTTCTCAGGTGTTGACAAATGTCTTCAGTCATGTGATGCCACCTGTGAAAGATGAGCTGTTTGTCTCTGTTTCCTATCTTCAGGTTTGTTTGTTTTTGTGTGACACCAGTCTAGACACAACATTGTGGACAGGTTGTTATTTTTTCCCCCCCAATCACAGTTTCATCCAGATGGTAGTGTGGAAGATCTCTTGAACCCTGATACACAAACTCTCGAACTTGTCCCTCATCCAGTCCTGGGAAGGTAAGTGTGAATCAGCAGTTCCCAACCATTGTGCCACAGAGATCATCAGAAGTGCTACAAGGAGTTATCCAATTTCTCTTAATTGGTTCGAACTGTATCACTTGCTTACTCGTCCAAAGTATCTCTGTTCAAGATTAATAGTGACAGGTAGAACAATTACAGATAAATGCATCGCCACAACAGATGATGTAATTAACCTGTGTATCCATGTGTTGCCATTCAAACAAAATAATAGCTTTGCAAACAACTATATGGGTCCAGATTTCACACTAAGTAAATGTACTTCAAGTGTAAATTGCGATGTGGCATTACTATATCTCGGTATGGAGTGGATGTAAAAAGGCTACACACCCAGGTTTTTGTAAAATAAAAAAAAATAATAAAAAAATGAGGCCAAGATAAATTTAATTAAGAAAAACAAATACAACAAATAACGTTCATCAGTCTTAGTGGGCTTTTCCTGATATTTTGTTGTGTGTGTGTGTGTGTGTGTGTGTGTGTGTGTGTGTGTGTGTGTGTGTGTGTGAGAGAGAGACAGAGTGTGTGTTTTTTTTTTTTTAGTGTGTGCGTGTGTGTGTGTGTGTATATGTGTGTGTCTGTGAGAGAGAGACAGAGTGTGTGTGTGTTTTTTTTTTTTTAAAGAAAAAAGTAGAGCAACAACAGGGGTGTGTAGACTTTTTATATCTGCTTTTTAAGCCTTTTGTGGCACTTTTATATCGTGGTGTTCCATGAGATTTGATATTGTACTTGGATCACATTACTAACTACATTTTTTAAACAGTTAACTGTACTGGAATACATTTTAAAAGTAAGCCTCCCAGCCCTGAACACAACAGTGTTACGTACAAGATCGGGAACAGTTCAGCACCAACATGTATTGCATAATATGACAAAAATATAAAGCATTCAAGTAGAATGCATTATATTCACCAAAGATGCTGATTATGAAACATATTAATGTGTGCAGATTGCTACAAGCGTGTTATGCTCGTCGAAGTGGAATGTCACAAGTTTCCTCTAACCAACCATTCATTCATTCATTGATTTTCCGAACCGCTTGATCCTCACTAGGGTCGCGGGGGTGCTGGAGCCTATCCCAGCTGTCTTCGGGCAGTAGACGGGGGACACCCTGAATCGGTTGCCAGCCAATCGCAGGGCACACAGAGACGAACAACCACCCACGCTCACACTCACACCTAGGGACAATTTAGAGTGTTCAATCAGCCTGCCATGCATGTTTTTGGAATGTGGGAGGAAACCGGAGCACCCGGAGAAAACCCACACAGGCCCGGGGAGAACATGCAAACTCCACACAGGGAGGCCGGAGCTGGAATTGAACCCGGTACCTCTGCACTGTGAAGTCGACTGCCAACCACTGGACTACCGGGCCGCCCCTCTAACCAACCAGAGGACGGAAAAAAAAGACGATGTCATTAAGAGCCAGGTCGCTGACTTTGTGAGGACAAAGTTACTGTAAATCAGCCAGCACTATCGATTCTGAAGACCCTGGCCTAAGCAGATTAAAATGACATGGCAACACAGAGACTGAAATCTTAAAATTCTAACATACACACATTCATGTACTGGAAGCAGTGCAGCCAAAAGAAATGTTGAGAAATGAAGAGAATAGACTGTAAGCAATAAATGAAAACGGTTTCATTAAATAGATGGTATAATTTAGCTTGTAAATGTATTGGCAAATGACTGCTCAAAATTTAGGTAAGCATTGTGCCTTTGCTCGTTAAAATTTGGGAAACACTGTAATCCCATTCCATGACAAATACTAACGCGGACAATGAAGTTTGATTGAATTAAATTGAGAAATTGACTTTTTGTTTTCCACTTAGTGTTATCAGAGGTTTGGGCGAGGTATGCGTAGACTCTGCAAAGGAAGCCTACACGCTCTATAAAACATGCAGGGAAGCACAAAAGGCCAAAGAAGAGTTCATTTCGACAAGGTAGGTCAAACGAACTCTGGCTGTGTCTGGCAGAGACTCGCACAGAGTGGCGGTTACACAACCTAGAATTAAGTGTTTGACTGCATCACGTAACGTAAAAGGACTCACCTTTAGTAGCTTGTCTTGCTTTTTTTTTTTTTTTTTGGGGGGGGGGGTGGGATATTTGATTATTTATCGACTGCTTTTGTGTTCCGCAGATGTAGTTGGCTTTTCACAGTGGCGGTGGAGTGGAAACTCCAGGAGGATGAAGTGGCCTTTCAGCTCTGTAGCAGCATACTGCGGGTGTTTGGTCTGGTGGGAGGAGCCAATTGGACAACCCTGATGGGGTCTGTTGCCCAATTTGTACAAAATGGTCTTCGTTTTATATATATATATATATATATATTGCCATAAATAGAGCTGCAAAGTGAATTTGACTAAGATAATTAAGAAGATATGAAAATGAGCAAACACGATTTGTCCAGATTAACTGATGGACAAATCTGATTACAGTAAAAGTCATAGTAGTCAGTCTTCAAAACTCCAACCATAATGCATCCATTTTATGCATTTTATGTCCAACAGTTTCCCCCCTTCATTGAAGCGCAGTTCATTTTGTGACTTTTCAGAGGAGCACTTTATATGCAAACAGATGCCAGTGCACTGTGATTAATCAAATCTGAGATGCTCCGTGATGGCTGACATTTGCGTCTTTTAATGCAATATATAGGGCATCGGGTTGGCAACCCCTGACCACAAGAAGCAGTCATGCTGCTTATGACAAAACTCTTTTCAACTTTGCATTTCCTTGCATCTGTGTCGTTTCTGCACACTGTGGAAAAAAAGGAGCGGTATGTTTTTTAATCACCATCAAAGATACATTCATGGAAACGTAAAGCATCACTGAAAATGCTGTTGACCTGTGGCGGAGTGATAAAATCTGTTATTCAGTAATGCTTCCTCTCACACTTCCATTATCTCCGTCATTTGAAACTTAATATCACTCTTGCAGACATTTCACGGGGAAAAACCACTCTACTTAAAACGCAAAACATTCTTAAATATGCTGTTCTCTGCTACTTCTATGCTTAGGTTATGCCCGCAATCTCTTAGCGTGAACAAGCAATTGAGCAGCAGTTATTTTGTACCTTAGTAGTAACTCAGGCCCGATACGTGCCCTGCAATTGACTGACGACCAGCCGAGGGCGTTGTCAGCGAGGATAGATGTTTTCAATCAAAAACATGAAAGAAACGGTTCATAAATTCCTTACCGTTCTATATCATCGGTAGCAGCAATGTCATTTTATGTCATGTCTCCAGCGTCAACCCGCTGCTGAAGGTTATGGATCAAATCCCAAGTGAAGCCGCCAAAACCGACCCACTCTTGCATTGCCTTCTAAATGACGCTCTTAGAGGAAATAACAGGACAGCGCTCATCTACTTTATCCAACCTCAAGGTGCTTTGCTCTGCTTCTCCCAACCACAAATCTAACCTTTGCTCAAATCATAAATCTTACTCCTCCTCATTGCAGGCGATTTAGATGACGAGACGCCATCTGCTTTAGCTTTGGCCCAAAAAGTGAAGCGGTTAGTGACGAGGGCCTCCCAATTTTGCTGGAGCCCAGAGAAAAGGGAGCAAGAGATCCGAGGTCGTATTGTGGAGCTGAGACATGCGATGATGTCAGACGCGGCTGATGGGACGTGTAACATCCACAGGCTGGCTGAGCTCATCCGAAGCCTGCAGGTCATTTGTAACATCAACATTGAACTATGCATCAAACATATTGAACTCATAAGTGAGCGGTTCCTTCAACAGATTGTGAAAGAGCAGTCGTGGCAGAAGAAAAGGGAAGCGTCAAAGAGGATTAAACTTAAGGTTTGAATCTTCCATATAGAGCTATTACACCAGGGCTGGCAAAACTACTGCCATTCAGGACTTAAGTATAGACACAAAATACAATCTTACTTTGGACAAAGGAACAGGGATATAATCGTTTGGGGACGTTTCATTAAAATTTGTTTTTATTTCCTTTTAAATTTTAGTTGTTAGATTCAGTTTTAATTAGTTGTTAGAGCAGGTTGGTCTATATTTTTGTTTGTTAATGCTTTTAATGTTGATACTTTTTGTATTATTTATTTATTTATTAGTATTTGGAGTAGTTGTCGAGTGCCAGTTAAAAAAAAAAAAAAAAAAAGGTCACTAAGTATTGTGTCATAAAGTAAACTACAATTCTCAAATGACGTTTGACCTTCCTTTTTCTGTAAAGACGTACAGCATTACCAAAATAAATACATTTATAATGAACCCTGAACCGAAAGCCAGTTAGTTTTATCAATGCAAGATAGTTTGGATTTTTTTCCAAGCATTTCCTTTTTATTTTGTCAACAAAAATGTCTTTTTCACTTTTACTTTGAGTTATTTCATTAGTTTTCATTAGCTATAATAACCTTGCAAAGTCATGATTTGGAAGTACAGATCGCTATTTTCAAATGAAGGCAACAAAAGTAAGTAAATACTCAAAAGCACAAATACATTGAAAAAAAAAAAAAAAAAAGTCTTTGTACCACCAGTGTTTTTTTTCCCACACCCTCAAAATAGATATTCTGTTGTTCTGGCAGCTATGCGGGTCCCAAAAGAGCCAAATACATGGTGACTTATCTGGAGGTCATAACATCAATCCCAAAGAGAGTTCAGACGCCGTGAAAAGCTTGCAGGAAAAGTTGAGGCAGGCAATGGAAGCACACGTAAGAGGTAACAGAACACTTCGCACTTCAGTACACCTGCACAATCACATAAGATCCAAAGTAAGAGATGTCCACAAATTCCACCGATATTAACAGAATTATCAGTAGTGTCATGATATTTTTACGATAATGGTTTTACAGTGGATAAAAAGTCGACATACCCTTATTCAAATGAAAAAAAAAGAGACCAAGATAACAACTTCAAAGCTGTTTCCAAAGTGAATGTGATGCCTTACTTATAATAGTCATCCATCCATCCATCCATTTTCTGAACCGTTTTATCCTGACAAAGGTTGCGGGGGGTGCTGGAGCCTATCCCAGCCGTCTTTGGGCAGTAGGCGGGGGACACCCTGAACCGGTTGCCAGCCAATTGCAGGGCACACAGAGATGAACAACCATCCACGCTCACACTCACACCTCGGGACAATTTAGAGTGTTCCATTAACCTGCCATGCATGTTTTTGGAATGTGGGAGGAAACCGGAGTACCCGGAGAAAACCCACGCGGGCACGGGGAGAACATGCAAACCCCACACAGGAAGCCTGGAGCTGTGAGGTCAACGTGCTGATTTATAATAATCAATTGATTGGTTTTATTTTGTTGTCTTTTCAGAAGGAAAGTTAAAAAAAAAAAACAAGTAATTGAAAATGTTTGCACACCCTCTTTGAACTGATGTGGCTGTGTTCAGAAAGAACCAATACAGACAAACTTAGGTTAAATGGGATTGAGCACACAACTGCCACCATTTAGAGTGCCTTTGATTAACCCCAAATAAAGTTCAGGTTGGCTTTTTCCTGTCTTTTGGGGGAGGTTGTTTACGATCAGTAGCCTAAAGGTTTTGTGATAACACTGGCCGATATTTCCAACTGTTCATAATTCCTTCCACCGTCTTTGTCTCAAATCCCACTTCCATATGAAGAAAACCAGCACCAAAACACAATGCTGCCACCACCATGCTTCACAGAATTTCCCCAAACACACACTGTGACATGGTGCAATGAATTCAAAGTTGAACCTTTTTGAGCATAATTCTAAGAGGTTAGGATAAGCAACTCTGATAATGGATGGATGGATGTTTGGCGCGAAGGCAACACTGCTCATCATCAAAACAGCCCCGTACCCACAGTGAAGCATGGCTCTACATAAGATGAAAAAATAAATTGTACATGTTAGGTTGAATGAGTGGTGGAAATTATTTGTCTTTGTCATATTTTATTAAATCACAAAAACCTGGCATTTGAAATGCGATGTGTAGCTATCTTATATCCACATTATCTTACATCTCTCATTTTCGGCACCTAATTTCCTCTTTCATGGTTGTAAATAAGTAACCATTACAAAGGCCCGTTAGAGTTCAGTACATGTGTGCACGAGTGAAAACTTTCACAAGAAATTCAGAGCTGTAAACGACCACACCGCATTCTACGGGGCAGCCCTCAGTGTTTTCTGCAGCCAGGCCAATAAAAGTAATAATACAGCTCAATGCATACAATTCAATCTGCAGTTATAGCCTCGAGTCACGCGTTATTCGTGCACCCTGAGCATTTCCCCCTGTCACATCACTGTTTCTGGCTGATGATCAATCATCAACAGTATTTTAAATCCATTCCCACATACAGTATATCGTTTGTTTTTTTTTCATTACTCCTGCACATGCGTAGATGAAGCAGGTGTGTTAATCTACCAAGCGGAGATCGTAGAAGTTTATTGACCCTTAAATTAAACTTTTTTTTTTTGCACTCTTGTTTAAAACCCTCGTGAGCGATAAGCGTCTCATATCATGGATGGATACTGTTCCACACAAAATGTGAACATGTTCCACAATAAATTTGTTTAGCACACACACACAAAAAAAAAAAAAATCCATATATTTGCAGGAATATAATTTCATAACAAACCTCTCGTCAAGAGACGTATTCTTTGTGCAAATCAAAACTGAGACTGACTATCTCTTGGAAAGGCAGACCTTTTGATATTTTGTTGTATTGGAAAGGTGGAACTGATGATGTGGCCAGTGAGTGTACCGATATGTCGTATTTCTCATGTCTGCAGAAGAGACAGGGAGTGTGGAGAAAGTCCAGGACAGCATATCGAGGATTCTGCAGTTGATGGAGGCTCTCAGAGAGGAACCGATAAAAAACATTCCTGCAGAAAAATGTGACCTCTGTCAACAAGTAACACCCTTCATCTCCTTTGTGCCTTTTTCATCATTTTAAGCCTATTTGTATGCACAAGACAATCCCCCCTTCTTCTTTTTTTTCCCTAGTTAAATGATGAGTATCAGTTGGAAGACTGCCATGCACACGAGCGTAGGAGGCAACTGAAGGAGCTCAGCGGGAGATTAATTCAGCGGGAGGTGGAGAAAATGGAGAGAGACTTGACGAGCGAGCAGATTCCAGTAAGCTCATGAGATGAGCTGTAAATGTTTCAAACTGTATTATTCAGTGTGTTATCTATCTTAGGAGAGAATGCTGAGTCACTTGGTAAGCAGATTCCTTGTGGGGGAAAAAAACGAATATCAATCAGTGCATTTTGTGGGTATTGTGACCAAAACTATGAACACACGCGATTGTAAATGAAGGAAGAAAATGATCAATCTGAATATACAGTACTTTGTTAGAGCGACAGCCTGCAGAGAGAGCTGCTGGTGATGAGCAGTGAGAGACGGGTTCTGGTGCTGCAAATGGAGGCCCTGCGAGTGGAGGCCCAGCAGGCCCACAAGGACCTGCTGGAGCTGCGTCACAAGCATCAAAATGAGCTGCGACATCTGAGGGAAGAGAGCCTCCAGGTGTGTCCAACCATCATAGGCAGTCAACACACAAATGTAAACGGAGCTATTCATATTCAGTCTACTCTTTTACTGTCTGTACCGTATGTGGTACTGTGTTGAATATCAGTACGGGTGGAGGGCTATTGTCTCCTTGACTGTGGGTTACAGTTTACCCTCCCCTTCAAAACATGAAGTAATTTTATTTTATATAGTATTATTGATCCATCATAATGTAACAACATATGTCGACAAACAATCATCGCAACGACATGTATTCTTTATGGTCAGCAAGGAATCGCGAAAAATTGCTAATGTTACAGCAGCTTACCGAGTCGGTTGTGAAGTGTACGCCATATGTGTCTTTATGTCTGTATTAGACTGCCTCCAAGTGGCAAAAGCTTGCACAGAAGAACCAGCACAATGTCCAATGAAATGATGCCAAAAAGTGATCAAAACTGTTTAAAAATCCTACAACCCTAATTGGCATCAGGATTAAAAGTCTAAGGTTAAAAATGAAAAGGACAGACACAAAACGTCATGAGGATTATGAGACATTTATTTTATACACAATAACTGCTCTGTATTAATACAGGTTGACACATTTACATTTGTCTATTACTATTGAAATGTTGATTAATGTACACTGCCCACTCGTGATCAAATACAAATAACACTGGTCGGCAGCAAATTTTAATCCGAGATGGCTTTGTGTGTGTGTGTAGGATAGTGCAACGCACAACATGCCCTACAACATGCAGGCCGTACATGCGTTTGTGAGACCGGAGTTGTTCTTTACTGGTACTTTATATGGATTAAAGCACTGTAAATCAAATTACGGTAAATCTGGTAGCTCATTTGAAACTCTTGACACTGAGAATGAAGTGTGCAATCATGTTATGTTTTTCCCGGGCTTTTTTCTTTTCCTTTCGCGTACATGTGTCTCTGAAGGTGTTCAGGAGGTTTCATGAATCGAGCGATCATCTGAGGAGGACATCTGAGGCCAGATACAGAAGCGTGCTTCTGGAGGCTGTGCACGACGCCATTTATCTATCTGCTCAGAACCACCAGCTGCATGCTGACAACCAACAACTGCGTAAAGGTGGGTTTAGGTCTACACTTGCTCTTCTTACACTGTGCTTTACAGAAATTGTTCTGTTATTTGTTTGTTTGTTTTTTTTCCCCTTTTTACAGCTCTGGGGCAGTTGAAGGATACGCTAACCAAGCAAGGTGAACACAGGGCTTGTGCAATACCTCCCGAAACTGGGTAAATGTGAATAAAAGATGTCGGTGTATGATAATTCACTGGCCGTTATGATTATAAATAAGCGACACAACTTGGCATGTGACATTTATTTGCATCATTTGTCACTCAAACCACAGGGGAATCATGAATGAAACTTATAAAACATTGAAAATGATGCCATACGTGCACTGGACAATTCATTAGGTATATGCAACTCAAGGCTATTACTGTGGTGGTAATTGACAGTGTTGTTAAAGTAATTAAATGCAACCATCCAACCATTTTCCGTAGCACCTGTCCACTTTATAGTCGTGGATGATCTCGAGGCTGCCCCAGCTGGCTTCGGACAAAAGGTACAAAGTCAGGTCAGGTAGGCTCCAGCTCACCCCGTGACCCTAATGAGGATGGGCACGATATAAAATGGATGGATGGCTTACACAGTGCTATCTAAGGGCAGACAGTATATACACAGTATATTCTCTTACCTTAGATATGCGTAATCTGTACATAATTCTTCAGCGAGTGTGGAAGTAACAATTGCAATGATTTGTCAAGGAGAAGTTTAGTTTTCATGTTATTACACACAGAAACGTGTTTTTAAAAAAAGCAAGATAACAATATGAGAAACCAAACAATGAGTTCAAAACAAAACAAAAAAACAGTGATTGTAGTTTTTTTGTGAAGACTCCAACTACGTGTAGTAAAGAAAAGCTGCCAAGGCGACCATGGCGAGTGGTATCAGGAAGAAGAAAGTAAGCTGCAGCCCTAAAACTGCCCATGACATCACAGCATTGACCAACATGGAGCAGGAGATGACGAAGAGCCGAGTGATGCCGCTGCCGTGTTTCAACACGACAGACATTAGGAGGCCGTTAGCTGCCTGCCCCGCTACGATAGCCCAAACTGTCCACGAGTATCCTTCCAAAAAGCTCTTGTCACTCGCAAGGGCAGAGAGGGAAGATAACCCGTTGATGAGCATGCCAAAAACATAGAGGTAGAGATTTTGCAGGCTAAGTGGCAGCTTCTGACTCTTCAGCACCCGCTCTGTATAAACAGCCGCCAGCCCAGATGCGCAACAGTAGACCAGCATAAGGAAGAGCCCGTGGCCTGTGATATGAAGCTTGGCCCCTCGCTGTGCAGTGCCCACGTCTGCCGAGTCGAGGCTGGAGTAGCTGTGGCACACTCCCGCTGCCATGAGGAGTCCCAGACTCACCCACTGACCCCAGCGCAGCCGCTTGCCCAAGCACAGGGAGTAGAGCAGAGCAGTGGCGGCGATTTTGAGGTTGCTGAGAACTTGGAAAGAGCTGGGGTCCATATAAGCCTGCATGAGAATAACCAGGTTGTTGTTAAGGGCGTATAGCACGGCGGGAACGGCGTAGGGGGCCACTAGGAACAGAGAGGTAGGGGCGAGTAAGGCCGAAATGCCCCCGGTCGTAACGAGAACAGCGAAAGACACGAGTAGCTTGGCCAATTCGATCATGACGACGCACGAGGAAGGGTCGAAAGGGACGCGGCCCTCGACTTTGCTCAGAGAGATAAGCGGAGCATGCGAGCCGTAGATGAGGACCATCGCGCACAAGAGCGCCCCCCACCGCAGCCTCGGCAGCCACTGCCTCCCGTACCTCGCCCTCTCGTTTTGGATCACAATCATTGTTGATAACACAAAAAAATTAAATACTCATTCACAGCATGAGGTTTAGTGCAATTCGCTTCAGACAATCTCAAGGAGCAACCAAACAAAACACCATGAAACACGATGGACCAAGCATTGCAAGAGCTATCTTAAATTGTTGATTGCAGTCCATCACTGACCAAACAAAAAGTAGCACCAGGCTTTCGTCAGTCCTCCCAAATTACTTTTTTTTCAAGTTGTTGAGAAAGTCTTTGACGGTCCTTTCAACGTTAGGCACTTGATAGTTCTGTGCTGCATACATGCCAGTGACGGTCCCCATCAGCACCCCAAAGATGGCAGAAGAGCGTAGCCTAGCCACCACATAACCAGCCAGGAAGCCCTTTAGGAATGGGGATCCCAACAGTGAGCCATCCTGCAAGAGGAAGATGACATTAAAGCCCCTGTACACCGAAAATAAATCTAAATTTCACACACCACAGATAGATAAGAATGTTGATGGTAACCTTGCCAAATTTGAATGATTTAAAAAAAAAATAAAATAAAATAATCAAGCAGTCACACCAGTGCAAAGCCTCAGGCCACACATTGAATATCACGTCTGGCTTTTTTTATTTTTCTTACTCTTTTGCCGTTGCTACATAACATGTGAACACTCACAGCCAACCAGTAAGCGCTTGAGAGCAGCTATCTATTAGGAATTTGGGATGTAGGCGTATCTAGCTAGCTAATTGTATGTCAACAGTGCTCCAGATAACTGCTGATGCGAAGGAAGGCGCTCAATTCTTTTATACAGTAGGTGAGGGGCGACTCTTGTCCTTGATCTCTACATAGTTAGCAGTCTTTGCATGTTTTCAGCAATTATTTTCAAACATGTATGACGGATTGAGAAAAAAAATCAGAATCCACTCTGCAGGGTCTTTTCTTGTGTTTTCATGAATTAAAATGTATTTAACGTGTATGCGTCTGTGACGTACCCTCTGCGATAAATTGAGGTGCACAGTAGTATGGAAGTCAAACTTTTATTTTAATGGCTTGTATGCAAATAGATGAGGCTCTCGGGTGCCTGCCTAACCATCAAGTCTGAAATTAAATATCTATGTCAATTTTTAAGAACATGCTTGGTTCAGAAAATGTGCCTGTGAGCAAATCGTTCGGCATTCTTGCTCTACTGTGACGTAACGGTGTCAACTAATACACATACAGTCACGCCAGGGTTACATTAATTTAGAATTTTTCATTAGTTAATTTTTGACTGTTGATTTTCAAATTCAGTTACTTTTAGCTAGTTACAGCAAGTTTCTTATTTTTTTTTTCAAAATGGATTTGTTTATTTCATTTTATTAGTTTTAGTATTTTGTTTTAATTATACGGCGTGTTTTAATGCAAATCTAATAGATTTTTTTAAGTCACTAAGTATTCTGTAGTAAAGTAAACTACAATTCTCAAATAAATTTTTGTCTTTCCTGCTGTACGGATGTGCAGCAATACTGAGACACATACATTTAAAAGAAACCCCACAAGCTCTTGCATATTAACCGACAAAAAAGGACATTTTCGCACACTATAGTTAGTTTTTGTTAGTTTTATAAATGCAAGGTGTAGTTTTATTTATTTAAACGCACAATGTGTCGATTTATTTTTGATCTTTCAATGTTCATTTTAAAAACCATTAATAATTTCAATAGCATGCAAAAAAAAATGTCTATTACACAAGTCAACATACATTTTTTAAAAATATAATCATAGGTCAAGTAATCGCTAATTGTATTACATGGGTCGCACCTCATCTTACAGGAGTCTGAAATGTTTTGCCGCCATCTTCCTCCAACAGATATCCAAAAGAGACACCAACCACTCACAAATTCTCTGGATCAATGACTACCAGCGTGTGTAACAAACGCATTTGACATAATTTGCTGTTTGAGGGAATACTAAGCAGGCGTCATTTGTTATGACATTTTGCTTGTCCCTCTGCTAAAGAAATCGGTGGTAGTCTTGCAAAGAATATTCTCTCTGAGGCACTGTCATGCACGTGTTTCAAAATGCACACGAGTTGAACTGAAGTCGTTGCATTCTATTAGTTTGCCACTAGGTGGCGTTGAAAAAAATAAACAATCTACACAGCGTGCATTTAAAAGCATTTTGTTTTTTATTTTATTTCCTTGACGAAAATAACCTTAAGCCACACTGAGTTTCTCAGCCAATGATTTGGTAGCTGGAGTTCCTGAGCGAAAGACCCACTTTCAAGTACTGGCTGAATCACAAGTACATCCAAAACAAAAGGTCTGCAGTATTTGCACATACTGTATTCATTTTAGCTAACACTGTTAATGTTGGCGTCTGATCACTCGCAGATACTAAGTGGTCAACTTTGAGGTAGAGGGTATTTGTGTTTGGCGATGTCATGGGCCACAAATGTAGTTTGTAGGTTTGGTGATGAAATGCAATCAAATCCTATGGGCACTCATTGTAAGAATGTCAGACGTGGTATTAAAACGCAAGGAAAATATTTGAAATTAGGAAGACAAAAACATAAAATTAAGGTCAGCGCTCATCTTGACTATGAATGTGAAATAAATGATTGTGGATCGTACAGACAGAGTATGTAGTTGAATGACACATCACACTACTGATGATTATTGTAATATTTAAAACAATATTCATGCATTCTTTTCCTACTTATGTGCCCCAGTCATAACACAGTAAACACGTACCTGTGGAATGCCAACAGCGATTTCGTTCTCCACTCGCCTCTGGATCTCCTCCAACTGATTTTTGAGCTGTGTCAGGTCTTTCAACTGTTTCAGGGGGTCCTAAAAATAGACAAGCGATTCGCGTTTTCGCTGATCATACAAATCGTCCTAAATCTTCATGTTTTTATTTATGCAAGCACACAACGACATACAATATTTACGATCTTTGCAGCAGAGAGATTACAATAATAAAAATAAAGCATCTCCGTTTTTTTTTGGGGGGGGGTCATAGTTTCGTTCAGTTTGTCATACTTAATTAAACAAAATCCATTTCCAATTATCCGCTCCTTGTTGTCACTCGGGACTGACTTAACTTTCGGTATTTACGCAGTGAACACTCAAGTGCTCTACTCACCTTGTCATCCGCCATTTTTCCTGATCGAGTTGATCAGTATTCGATTAACGAAACTAGACCCAGTGTTGCGATTAGTTAGGTCTGAAAGCGACTTCTCAGTAAAGCAAGATGTAGTTTATGTTTGTGTTATGTTGAACATGCTATTGTAAAATTAAGACAATACCTATTCATTTAGTTCAATATTATCGGCGTGTTTCATGTCCCATTTGACGTACGCGTGTCATTCATACCGGAACAAGTGTCACCTTCCCGTGACAAAAACGTGGAACATGATTGGCCAATGTTTCCATATGAACGCCTACGATTGGTGTAGA